CTCCACTGCTGAATTAAAATGTCCTTGTTCCCAGGCACAGGAGAAGGGAGTTTGGTGCCCTGCCTTTGCTGCAGTGACCCTGGCTCAAAAGGCTTGGGCTGATCTTTCACCCAAAAGTCACCTTGCAGGGATAAGGACTGTAGCTGAGAAGCGATGCCTAGGCCTGCGTGACCCCCTCCCCACCCCCGTGTACACCGAGACCCCAAATTGAATGTTCTTGGCCTTGCTCCCCAATCCTCCACCACAGGCAATTTTCTTTCCCTCGTTCATGTTTCCAAAACAGTTTATCTTTTTATCTCCTTGGAAGAAAAGTACTCTGCGAATCAAAGGAATCATTAGTACTGTTATTATTTTGCTATTGAAATCTCTCAAATTCGTTCGGGATTATTCATGCGCTTTTTTGGGTCTGCAATATAATGCCGCCTAAGTCACCCCCACTGGGCTGAACAAAAAAGAAAAATTGCATCTTCAGGCCTAACGCCCTGCTCCCCCCTCCCTGCTCTCCTGCTGGCCCTGGCTCCTACCAGCGCCGGCGCGCCAGGCAGACCTGCTCCTTGGGACCATGCCTGGCTCCTTGCTGCCATGTTCCAAGTGAGCTCTGCCTTTGCATCCCTGGAGGGAGGCCCCCGTGGGATCCTCCAAGTGCAGTGTGAGGGCCCAGACCCCACCCACTCCCTCTCCACCTGGGGAGTTTCTCCTCCCTGCTCAGTAGGTCTGGCTGGGAATTGAGAACTCCCTGCTGGGCAGCAGACACAGTGACCGCCCCCCTTGACCCTATAGACCGGCCCCAGTTCCCCTCACCCAGCAGGTTTGTGAAAGAAGTGGTCCCACGCCCTTGGCAGCCATGCACTGACCTTCCAGGACAAAAGAAGCAATTCTTCCTCCCTGAGACAAGGCGTCAGACCACTTGGGGTGCCCATGGGGAAGCATCACACTAAACGACTTGCCCCGTCTTTTGTTCTGTGACATTTCTGGGGAACGATAAATGTTTCCAAAGTTGCTGTTCATTCCCAGTTTCCTTTCCTAATGCCTTCTGGGCTGTACCCCCTAGGGTCCCCTCCATTCCTGTGGCTGCCCGCCTCTGATGGGCTCTTGCTGTTTCTGATGCCCTCTCCCTCCCTCCTCGCCCCCTCCCTCCCTGCCACCAAGGGCACTTGTTGGAAGTTGACGCCTCTCGTCTTGGTCCTCCCTCTTCACACTTCCTGTCACCCCCAGGGCTCCCCTCACCTGACCACCTCTCCTTATTCACACTCTATTTTACCCTCAGCCCACTCGATGCTCCTCTATTCCCTTGGACATTCACGCCACCATGACCCTCTGCCCTTTCAATGGCCAGCTGACAGCCCGTCCTGGTGATCCTGAGAGCAAGTCGGGAGAGCAAGTGGCTTAGATTCTTCCCAAGGGGGAAATGAGACCCCGGGTGAGTCCTCCACTCAGGGATGCCACGGACAGGGCAATGCAAGCTTTCACCTTCACCCCAACAAGTTCAGAGCAGCGTGGCGCACACAGACACCCAACGAGAGAGCTGGACTCACTGAATTAGAACTTTCAGACCCACAAAGTTACTAGGCAGAACAGGACACTCTGGGAGTGCTAGAGGCAAAGGTCAGCGAGCAGGGAAGAGGACAACTTTCCTAGGAGCGGCTGCAGTGGGAGGCGGCGAGTTTGTATCAGCGCACATCCCCCCAAACCGTCCGCAACCCCGAGATCTGATGGCCAGCAAGGCATCATCGTCTTGCTAGAGCACCATCCCTCCAAAGCTACTTAAGACGTGGGTGTGCGGGCTGGCTGGGCTGGTCTGGAAGACGAAGGAGGGCAGAAGAAGAAATCATTGTGGGCAAACCAAAATGATAAAGGGAAAAAAGTATAGCAAGTTCTAAGTGTATGGATGACAAGAGAATCGATTCCTTTTCACCCAGGGGCAGAACAGGCCTCTTCTCTGCAGGAGGCAAATGGTGCTGTGACACTATCCCTCTCTGTACAGAGCACGCGGTCCTGACAGCTGAGGAAGAGGCATCCCCAGCGAGAAAGAAACCCACCAACAGCACATACGGGCAGCGCTCCGCGTTCTCGCGGGGAGCCGGGCCCAGGGACACCGGCCAGGGTGGAAACAGAGGGCTGGCATGTGGCCTCTCTACTGACACCTTAAGAATGATAAATAAACATTTCATCACAGTCTACATGCAAGGCCCAAACTTTAATTGAAAAGATACAGCATATCACTGACATGAATTATATCTTAATTTCACTCTCTAAAGGGTCATGAAAAAAAGGAAAAGTGAATAAATGTTCAACAAATTAGAAGAGAAAGGATGATTGAAATGACTTTAAGAGTTTATCTAGGTGTTTTAAAGCCTTCAGAGTGCCCTTGGGAGTACCCTCTCTTTATGGAAACTAAGATAACCTGGATCTGAAGCAGGAGGACTGTTCCCAGAAACTCCAAAATGACATGCAGGTTCTCGCTGTGACAGGTGTCAGTCAGCAGATGGATGTGTCACTAGAGGGCCAGAGAAAGCCCTAAAAAGAACCCTGGATACTTGTTTTCTCTGAGTGGTGGGCCATCCCTGAATCGCCACACATTTCCTTGGAAAGCATCGCAGGAGGTGGGATCAGATGGGTGGCTGTGCGGGGTTGCCAGGTGGGGTGTAACCACAGTCAGGGGCATGACAGCGGGTGCCATCTAGAGCCTGTGGGCTAGTCTTCTCATGACTTGCTCAAAGTAGATACACTCTATCCCATAACTTGATAAACGGCACCAGGTAGGGGCTGGCACAGTGTACGAACATACATGAGCATTTATGTGCAGAGGGTCAAGTAGAATCCTCTGGGGAATTTACAATACTCAAAACAACACCCACATTCAAATAAATGTCCAGGGATCAAGTCAAAAGATATTCCCAGTGAAGTCTGGTAAGCATTGTCCCACCTGACCATTAATTCCTGTAGTCAGACACTGTCTATTCAAGGAGCCTACCCTGCCCAGTGATGGAGGGGATTCTGACTGGCTCTGTCCACCTTGGTCTCCTTGTCTTTCCTTAGACCTGTTTTGGAGTCCCGTGGACTATGCATCTACCATTCGGTAGGGTGGGCAGAGCTGGCCAAGCTCAGAACACTCAGGGATAACAAGGACCTATGAACCCCCATGACGTTGTGGTTTCTTCCTAGTGCTTTCAGGGCTAAGGGGAGAAGAAACAGAGCATTTAACCTCCATAGGTAAATATTTAAAAATTTATATGAGGCAGTCAAGAAACAGCTCTGGACTGAGAAAGGAAGAAGCAAAGTAGAAGATGCAGGCTGTGATGGTTCCGACAGCCAGAGAGGCACTTAGATACCTCTAGCTTCTCCTGTCCATCTAGAGAGGAGTCACGGCTCAGGCTTCTAAGACTGCAGATGACTGATTACAACATGCACTGGTCTGGTGAACGTGGGTGTAGGGGGGATGGTTGGATCCTCTCTTTAGGGATTCTACAGGTAACCTCCTGAGTGAGTGAACTGGAAGGAGGCAAAGGGGAATGCAGGTGAGCTTGTGTGTTGGTGTAGGTGTGTCCCATGAGCCAGCACGCACACATCCAAGAAAGAAGGCAATCTCACCAAATGGTCATGGAACCCAAATGTTTCTATACTCGTGTTCCAAGATAGTTCTTATTCATTCAGCCTGAAAGCTCTGGGGAAGGCAATTTATCTTCCTGCTGCTGTAGGGAGTCCTGGTGAGAGGCACAGAACCACTGGAATACATGAGAGTGTGTGTGTACATTATAATTATACACAAGCAGGGGTACATATGTACTCGAGCGGGGAGGGCCCTCCAGGTTTAATCAGGATGGTCACAAGCCAAGTTGGACAAGGGGAAAATCTGCAGCGACCACAAGGACCAGGGGAAGATCTGGGGAAGGAGGCGTGGGTTTCTGCTTTCATTTGGCTTCACCCTGACAGGGGAGGAGAGGAAGCTATGCCGTGTGCTTACACAGCCAGCCACCCATGGCCGTGCTCTGCTTTCTCGAAAACTTTTACCCTTCATTTAATCAACAGATGGACGTGCTCTGTTGTGGATTTTTCTGAGCGAGTCCTGTTCCTCTCCGAGCTGTGCTGGCTGGCACCAACACTGCCTCAGATGGCAGAGACAGCCACAGCATTCCAAGAGAGGGGGAAGGAGCCGGCTGACTTAGCCCTCAAACTCAATTCCACAGGTGACTCCCGACGCTGCCGGCTTAGCCGGCACTCACCATCCCTTTCCCGAACTGCCCTCCCCGCCCTCCACCGCTCCCAGCCCCAGGGCTCCCAGTGGCAGGGAGCCCCAGGTGGCAAAGTTCTCTCCCAGTGTCCACCAGCTTCTCTGCCCCTGCTAGGCTGCAGAAAGGCAGCAATCAGCACCAGGGGCGGAACTGCATTTATACCCTGAAATCGAGTGCCGTGAAGGACTCGGAATTCAGCCTTATTCAGAGAACTCCATTACGTACAAGGAAACTCTTTAGAAGCTTTTTCCCCAGCCACTGCGAATCACCCCCACGGTCCATTCGGTCATCGCAGCCCTCTGCACACATTCCCTTCCGAATACGCCCGTGCAAGCCAGACCTTATTAGAGCTGAAAAATCTACCTAAACAAAGCTCTCCTTCTCCAGCCTCTCCTTCCCCAACCTGCGTCTGAAGGAGAGGTGGCGCCCAGAAGTTCAGAGCGGCACATCCACCGAGATACTCCTAATTAACATACCGGGAGCATAAAGAACTCATTTGCATTGGAGAGTTTGAGCTGGATGTTGACAAGTGAGGGGAGAAAGTCACCCTCCCCTCCCGCAGCCCTTCCTTCCAAGGCAAAACAAACTGTCATTTTGTTGCCTTTTCAAAGGCAAAGAGGCAGGGCCAGTGCAGCTCGGCCGGGCACCGGGAGACACGCATCCATCAGTCCGAGTTTGCGAAGCCTGCACGCACGCCTGCCCGCCGCCTCCCGCGCCCTGACAACCCCGCCGACTTTCTTTGCAACTCCAGCGGCGCACGGGTCCTACCTTGACTGAAAAGGAAGAAGCAGACGAAGAGCAGGTCGAGCTGGAAAGGTCTCATTCCTCCGCGCGGCGAGGGGAAGCCGGCGGGGCAACTTGGGTTCGCGGCGAGTTTCTCCCGCCCGGCGGCTCGCGCTGCTCAGCCTCCGCCGCGGTCCTCCCGGCTCCGCGCCGACCATCGGTCTGTCCGTCGGTCCCTCCGGGTGGCCTCGGGCTCCGTGCCTCGCGGGATCCGCAGCCAGCCGAGGCAAGTTGCCTGTCTCTAGCCGCCTCGGGAAGCCGGGATCGTCAGCGACGTCCCCTCTCGGAGCAGATCCATCCTCTGGCGCTCGGCATCCCAGGCACACGGCTTCCTCCGGCGGCTCCTCCCACAGCCAGCGCGCGAGCGAGCCAGGGAGCGAGTGACGAGTGACAGAAGGGCTCCTTTCACTGAAGCTGGGGCGGGGGGAGAGGGAGGGGAAACAGGTCATAATTAAAGAGGAAACACTCGGAAAAAGGAGATCTAGGCAAAACGGAGGGAGTGGGGGGAGGCTCTGTTCTTTCCTTCCTTCTTTCTATAACCCCGTACACAGAGGGAAATTCAGCTTTGGTCACCATTATGGACCAAAAGGCATCTTGAACAGGGAGCGGAGCTGTGACTTTCTGTCCACAGGACATAATGTTGTTTAAGGGGTGAACTTAAGGATGGCTGTCTGCACGAACCCACATCAAGATAAGCGTGCCTTGCCTTTGTACCGGGGACTGGAAACTGGGCTGAGCGGGGAAAAGGGGCCAGCGAGGGGGTGCATCTTTCCTAGGGAAGGACTTGGCCGGGGTGTGCAGCAGGAGTCTCTGAGTTGGGGAAGAGATAAACATGCTTTGCATTTCTGAGACTTTCCTAGGTGGGGGCGGGCTAGGTAATAAAACCAGAACGTTTGGACCTTGGCTTTGCTTCGCGATACTCCTGGAAAACAAAATGAAGGAACTAGAGGGAAAATAGGCAGATTTGTGACACATGCCTACTTATTATTATTATCCTGGTTTGTGCATTTCCTACCAAGGATAGGGGAACAGACTGTCTTTGCATTTGGAGCCTCTCCATCACTCTGAGCATGCCTCTTCTCCAAGAGGTGCTGTGAATCCTATTGCGAAGGAGAGGCCAAGGTCATAGGCAACCGCCTCCTAAGAACCTTTTACCTGTCGTGAAACCCACACTCAAATCAAACTGTATTTCATCCAGAATATCAAAGGGAGTTTATCTAGAGCTATTTACTTGATAGACATGTAGATATGCCTGGTATAAGCAGGGCATTGGGGGAAATAAAATCACAGGCACACAGACCATGCCTTCAGGAGCTCATAATTTAATGTGGGAGCGGAGTATACACGTAGGATACAAATTATAAGGATCATTACAAAACAACGTATAAAAATATACAGAAGGGGAGGTCATGAGTAAGAAGAGGGAAATGAAAGATTCTCTCTTGATTTGTGCCCTGCGATTATAAAATCAATCATTACTTTCATCAGTCATTGGACCTTGGGGAGATTTGTTGGGAAACCCTTAGCTTTTCTTCCATCACTATTGCATATTTGGGGGACTTTGCTGATTGCATTGCACATTACAAATCCAAGTTTCCGTGTGGATCTTAACTTTTAAAAACGCACCCCTTGGTATTTATGAGCAAGGGGCACGTGTGAGAGTGTCTGCTGGTAGGAGCTGACGTCTGGTAGTGACATGTTGACATCAAAGATCTACAAGTTAATAGGTGTCTACTTTGTTGACTTTTCTGCTCTTAATAGTTTATTTAACTGCATCCCTTCGAGGCTGTTAAATATATCAAAGGAAATTTGTAAGCAAGCTTGGGGGGGGGGGGGAACGCTGAGCCACAGAAACTAAAGGAACCCAAAAAAGGCACCTCATCATCTAAATTAGCAAACAAGGTACAGAAGAAGCCAAGTGTCAGAACTGCCTTAGTCCAAGGACTTGCTATAACAGACAACACAATGAAACAGAAGAGGCAAACTAGAAACACATGCGAAAGATGAATAATCATTCTAAATAACGTATGCCAAATAACATACCAAGAGTGGAAATATGGCATGTGTAGTGCTGTAACTTTGGTAGGAAGTTTCCATTAAATCTACAGGGGCGGGAAGAAGTTTAAGGTCTGGGTACCATTCCTAAGACCAACCTTGCAGTGGATAAGACTAATAATATTAGAACGTAAACTCTGCCTCACACAGCAACATTTGATGTTGTAACTGACATTTATCCTTTAAGCTGTTGTTTAATTTTGATTGCTAATTCCTAAGTGGCCTGGGGCCCAGACTTACTTAATTCAGTCACTGAGGAAAACATTACAAAACCAGGGTCGAGGCCCAGGGTCATGATGCCCGGGTCATGACCTGTGAAATGCACTGAAATCAGGCCCACATACAGGCACGTGCAACCACACACACTCACTCCTAGACAGGAGAATAGGGGTGGGGGAGTGCGAAGTTTGAAGGACCTGGTTTTGCTCTCCCCCTGGTCCCTGCGATTGGCCTCCTGACCCCCAGTCTGGCTCAGATCCCCCAGCCAGCTGGACCTGTTCCCCTCTCCACCCCCTCGACCCCCCTCCTCGCAGCCTCCGGTCTCCGGCAGAAAGGAAGAAAGCTCGGATTAAGTGGTGAGCTGCCTGCCTCTAAAAGGACCAAGAGGCGTTTCAACCCTGAGTGCCGGAAAAACCACGGCTGTCTTCGGCAGCCACCACGTGGGGCAGCGAGAACACAGCGGTACCTGCAGGACCCATAGTCGGCCGGGCTCTGGCGCCAGACCCGACGGCGGCCCCGCCATCTCCGCCCAGGCTGGTCCTTGGCCTCACCTCCTCCGGGGGCTCGGTTAACCTCCTGGCGCTGCGAGGTGCCGGCGTGCAGTTCTCTGGCGAGGCGGGAGGGGAGGAGGGAGGCGGCGAGGAGCTGACGGCTCCACCTGATGGAGATGAGCTGGAGTCTCAGACCTGGAGCGCCGCGCGAGGGGAGGGGCCAAGGACGCCGGCCGCCCCGGGTGGGAAACCTGGGCGTCCCTGGGCGTCCGGAGCGCGCTGCCCGGGGGTCCGGGGCCGTGGGCTCGGTCTGAGGAGCTGGCGGCCCTAAAGAGACAGCCGAAAACCAGTCACTTGGGAAGCTGCCCGAATTCTTCTGTGCACATCCAGGCTCCGGGTCTCCGTGGCGCCCACCGTGCGAGCCGGGGCCCCTCACCAGCAGGTGGCATCCTCTCTAGCGTTTCTTCACCTGGCGTGCAGCCCGGGAGGCCTTCTTCAGCAGTCCTCAGTTCCCCGCTCCCTGACCCCCCCTCCGAGGCCTTCTGGGCCAAGTGCCGTGTCCCTTGAACCACCTCACGCCGGCGGGGCGGGCGAAGCGGGATCGCCCAGAGCTGCGCGGGGGCGGAGCCCCAGGGAATGAGGGCTTGCCCCAGAGACCGCTGCTCGCTGGCCAAGAAGTTCCAGAGGGGCAAGTCTCCCCTGCGCATCTTCCAATCTCTACTCTCCCGGCAGCAAGCGTGCCCGGGCGGTTTCTGAGATCTGGGACAAACAGAGTGAGGCAGGAGATTCTGGGCCCAGGTGCAGGTGGGGTGGGGGGGAGGGGCACTGCTATTCAGCCTGAACCAGCAGGAGGTCAGACCCTGACTCATCACTGCTTTCTAGTGACTTTCCTCCTGGCTGTTAGTTCAGTGTCTGTAATATTTATTACTCCCTCAGTTTGTGCAAAGGCCTGTTTTGGGTACTGAATAAAGACGTGTGGAATGAATACATGAATTCTTGTTCTTGGAAAGTTTGTCCTCTAGCTGGGGAGATGTGTTCACAGGTGCATGCAGGGGAAAAAAATGATGGAACATCTCACTAGCTTTTTAATATGACAGACAACTGCCCTGGAGTCAGGTGGAATCCTTTCAAGACTGGTCTTTCTAGGCTGATTTGCTTGTAGTCTTACAGGAAGCTGCTGGGCTGAGAAGCAGCACAACCTTTGGGTCAGAGTTTTGACTGCCCCCACCCCCACCCCATCTACAGCTGTGTTCACCAGGTAGCCTTGCCACGAATGGGAGAGAAAGGCTGTTTTATGAGGCAGGCTGTCATCATGAGCAGAGAATTTCCTGTTTAATGCCTCTTTGCAATATTGGTTGCACAGATACATTATAAACCACATTTCCTTTTGTTTTTCATATATCCTGCCAGTGCTGGTTTAAGCTTCCTTGTCCAGGGATTTAAACACATTTTGAACCAGCCCCTCCTGGGAGTTTGGGGTAACCTGACTCTTCCATCCTGGATAAGTTAATAAGGGCGTGAAGCTACATATACTTCCGGAGAACAAATGGGCTTCCGAGGGTCTCCCTGGTGGCAGCCTGTCTGACCTGGGCAGTCATAATCTTCTAGCCTATTTCTTTTTCACTCATCTGAAACAAATTCCTTCCTCACATCTACGTAGGTGGATTACAAGACCTTAACCCCTGTTTACTGTGGTCAGTCTCTCCACAGCCATGCAGTAAGGCCCCAAGAACCAGAAATGCAGCTTTCAGAAGCATCCCTCGAAGGGCAGGCAAGTCTGCATCACTGATTCACTAAAGGCCAGGCCCAAGTGAGAGGTCATGGTGAGCCTTCTGGCCTGGGCACTGCTACCTTTCGTAGCCACTCAATAAACCTGGGTATATCCTTCTTCAGGCAGTGGCTCTCTGGGATCCCTCCCAATCCTAACATCCTATTATCTGTTTTCCACAAGCCACACCTCTCAGCCTGGAGAGATTTGGAAGTGCTTCCCAGTGACTTAATGACTTCAGCATCAGGGCAGATACGCACCCCCAAGAACATTAGCAATGGCCCTGGCATCTGCATGGACCCCTATACTGCAAGTGCTTGAGGCCTGGCAGCTTGACGGATTCAGGCAGACCGGAGAACACTGTAGGTATCCCTGACACGCATTTATCGTGGAGCGGAGTACACCCGCTTCCGTGGTGGCGCGGAGGAAAGCCCCGCCCACCTTATACAGCAAAGCAAGCAAAGCCATGTAGCCAACCGGGTGGGCTAACCACTGCGCTTGCGCGGTGCCAGTCATTCCGCAACAACACGCGGGTACTGCGCAGGCGGGGTAACACTGCTGAGTCCCTGGGCCCGGAGGCAAAGAGAGGGAGTGTGGCCGATTCCGTTCTCCCTGCGACCCCTCTGCGCTGGTTGATTATGACTGTTCCCCAAACTGTTTCACGTTCATCTTACTCAGAGTGCCCTCGGTCTTTCCCCAACTTGTTCAACTTGTGATTTCTCTTCTTTCCTTATTTCCCCTAGACCTATGCCTCAAGTCCGGCCTGGATTCTGGGTTCCAGAACAGCTTTTCTGCAACATACATTCTATCATGGTGCTGGTGCAAGCCTTTTAGTAAAGGGAGGAAATGCTGATATCAGAGTGGCTGATGGTTAAAAGACTCCCTTCAAAGGCAGTAGGACCATGGCGCCTTGATTTTAACTCAATCTTAACATGAATCAGACTCAACTGTAGAATCAATCTGATTGTGTGTCTCCCTCGACTTCCCGGAAGCCCCACGAACGTGGGAGCGGAGCCTCCCCAGGTCACACAGCACCCAGCTGGTACCCTAGTAGGCAGTAGGCACTTAGTACATGATGTGGGCTGAACGGCAACGTTTTACCTAGTGCCCCACATCCTGTTTCCTCTCTTCTGAGTCCAATATAACTTATTCTTCCCTCTGTTATTAAATCATTGTCAAACATCTGGCACGTGCCTGCCACTGCTCCGGCTGTATTTTATGGGGATGGGTAATGAATCGAGCCTATATATAGTTTGCAAAATGTGGAACACACTTTAAGATGCACAGCACTATAGAAATGAAAGATATTTTTATCTCTTCAGCATCATTCTGCACGAGGAGACAATTCTCCGGCAGCACTGTTTAAGAACAATAGACCTGTTTAGCCTTCACACACGCATACATGCAGGGCGCTGGGTATTCAGTGCACATGGGAACAGCATTATCTCCCTCGGCAAAAGCCTGGAGTGTATAATTTACAGGGAAGAAAAGATACGGGAAACGGTATGAAAGCAGGTGGCAGTGCCCCCGGGCCTTGTCTCATCGCCAACTGAACGCACAGGCCGGGACCTTCATCCATGCCCCAGGGATGGCACCAGAAGCGAGCCTCAGCATGCCTCTTCAGCGCTTGGAACACATCTTGTGTTATTTTGGAACAGGCCATGTATATATGAATGGGCTGATTATGCGGAAAATGTTGAAAGACAAAGTGAAATTCCAATTTATGACTCATTTGTGGTCTTCAAAGTCTTTAAAAAAAATCTTACTGCATTTATTCTTTTTCTCCATTATTCTTTTTCATAACCCCCTTCCCCCTCACACACACATACCCTAGGCCTAGGTTAGTAAAACTTTATAGGAGCCCAGGGAGCAGGTGTGTCTCACTTGAAGCCCTTTAAGCTTTTTTCCTAGATGACAAACTTTAATTTTTCTTTTCTGTTTATTATATGTACAGTATTTTTTTCTTTAAAAATTTTTTTAAATTGGAGTATAGTCAGTTTACAATGTTGTGTTAATTTCTGATGTACATCACAGTGATTCAGTTATACATACAACACACACATACATGTATTTCTTTTCAGATTCTTTTTCATTATAGGCTCTTATAAGATATTATATATAGTTCTCTGTGCTATACAGTAGGACCTTGTTGTTTATCCATTTTATATATAGTAGTAAGCATCTGCAAATCTTGAACTCCTTATTCATCCCTTTCCACCCACATCCCCCTTGGTTACCATAAATTTGTTCTCTTTGTGAGTCTGTTTCTGTTTTGTGAATAAATTCATTTGTGTCATTTTTCTAGATTCTACATATAAGTTATATCATATGATATTTTTCTTTTTCTGGCTTACTTCAGTTAGTATAACCATCTCCAAGTTCATCCATGTTGCTGCAAATGGCAATATTTTATTCTTTTTATGGCTGAGTAGTATTCCATTGTATAAATAGAACATATCTTCTTTATCCAGTCATCTGTTGGTGGACATTTAGGTTGTTTACATGTCTTGGCTATTGTAAATAGTGTTGCTATGAACATTGGGGTGGACGTATCTTTTCAAGTTAGAGTTTCCTCTGGTTATATGCCCAGGAGTGGGATTGCTGATCATAGGACAAGCCTATTTTCAATTTTTTAAAGGAATCTCCATACTGTTTTCTATAATGACTTTTGCTTCACCTCTTTCTCCTCCGAGTCAAAAATGAACAGTGAAACGAACTTATGGTTACTAGGGGGAAGGGGATGGGGAGGGATAAATGGGGAGTTCAGGATTTGCAGATACTAACAAATATATATAAAATAGATGGACAACAGGTTCATACTGTACAGCACAGGGAACTATATTCAATATCTTGTGGCAGCCTGTGGTGAAGGAGAGTATGAAAACGAATCTGTGTATGTTCATGTATGACAGAAGCATTATGCTATACACCAGAAATTGACACAGTGTAAACTGACTACACTTTAATTTTATATATATATGTATATATATCATATATACATATATATACAGGGAGAGGGTATAGTTCAAGTGGTAGAGTGCATGCTTAGCATGTTTGAGGTCCTGTGTTCAATCTCCAGTACCTCCTCTAAAAAGAAAATAAAACCTAATTACTTCCCCCCACCAATTTAAAATAAAATGATACAATAATAAATGAATAAAATATGAAACTATACATATATACAAAAAAGAAGTGCATTCATCTAGTTTGCCTCAGCATTTATGATCCTTTATTCCATGATAATTAATATTATAGTATAATTATTTATTTGTATGTCTTCCTTCCAAACTATACATGAGATCTTCAGGGTAAAGGGCCACTTTTTTTTGCATTTCCCAGAGTCTATTGCTTAATGCTGGGCATCTAGTAATTATTTGCTAAATGTTTTTTTAAACAAAATAAAATTAGACCCAAAGCCCTGCTGTCCTCCTGGTGATCCTTCAGCCTCAAGCTTGAAATTTTCTTTCTCCATCATCTGATACCCAACTAGATGCATAAAATTCTATATCCATCTTCTGGAACAAGGTGCATATGAAAGATGGAAGAAAAGGATTTCTGACTATGCATTTGAAACCCAGCCCAAGTCTGAGGCAGATGTGGGAAGTGGTGCTGTCAGTCTGTATAGATCACAGCCTAACTCCAGCACTTGTATGAAAAGAACAGTGAGAAATCCTGGTTGTTGTGCTTGGTGGCACAGCCTGAAGACAGTTGAGAAGCTAGCATACTTCATAGTATAGGTTCAAAGGAGATGAGGAGAACCAGTGTTAATATTTCCCAAACTCGGCCCAATAGGAATTGAGCTGGTGGTTCAGTGTTTCCCCTGTAGTCTGTGTCTCTTTTCTGCTGTGTGTCTGAGATTCTGAGCAGAAGTAGAAACTCCTTTTCCTC